TCATTTCTTGATGGATTGATATATTCTATTTGTGACGATATATATATAGTCTACTTCGATTTTGGTTAAGGTAGATTATCATTTACAGTGTAATCAGTGAGGGGATTCTGCAGACTGTTGAGGGTTCAGCCTCCTGATGAGTCGGTGAAACTCCAACGAAACAGTTTGTCACAGCCCTTCGTTTGTTGTCCTCTTCTCTCTCTCTGCCTACGGTTTACCGGGCAGTTCTGTTTGTGACGATATATATATATATATAGAAACTCCGACGAATCAGTTTGTCACAGGCCCTCGTTTGTTGTCCTCTTTTCCCTCTCTGCCTACGGTTTACCGGGCAGCTCTGTTTGACGATAGATATATATATTATATTGAAGGTCTTTAATGTCCAAAAACTACTCATAAAATCTATGAATCTTTTTTTTTTGATTCGTGTTACTTTTCAAAAAAATAAAAACTTATAAACCCAGTTATTGGCCAATACCTTTAGTGTCTTTTAAACTCCGACGAAACAGTGTGTCACAGCCCCTCGTTTGTTGTCCTCCTCCCTCTCTGCCAACGATTTACCGGGCAGCTCTGTTTGACGTATATATGTATTAAATACTATTAATACAATTAAATAATTAAATTGTGTTTTAAATTTTAATAATTTTACTTTTTCTTTTTTTTCTTCCTTTTTTTGTTCTGGCCGGGCAAGTGGTCCCGGGCCACTCTGGTAGCCTAGTAATGAAGTGGATAATAATGAAGTGAGCGGTGGAAATGGAGCAGCAGATGATGGGGTGGATGATAATGGGGTGGTGGACAATGTTGATAGGATGGACAATATGTGTAGAAAGGGTGGATGATGGGGTGGATAGGTGAGTTGTGCATGCATGATTGAATGGGTAATGAATGGAGCACAGTGATTGCAGGTTCAGGCTTCACCTCAAAGCTTTCCCTTTCCCTTCACATTGGGGTGCCTGATCTGATCTATGTTGGTGCAGGTCACAACCCCAGAGGATATGGCGGTGGCAGAGAGGTTCCTACAAGATGTGCAAAAGCCGTGTGCGCCAGTATGATTATTATTGTGTGTGGAGCATGCAGTTTTGTGG